GAGATATCAAAGTTAACCGAAAACCTATACTCAAAGAATTGTTTGGATTTAATTCGATGGCTATTAGAACCGGTGGTCGAGACCAGGATTCCTATGAAGACAGTTATGTTACATAAATGGCTACTAATAGACTAATTACTCAAAGAATTAAATGTTTATAATTTATAATTGATTTAAAGATATATTTTTATTTAAAGAACATTTTAGTATAAGTTTTGAGTTTAAATAATTAATTTATAATAAAAAAAATACTTTATTTAAAAATGAGTTATTATTAAAGCAGAGATTATTCGGGAATAAAAACAGTCAAATTGGGGAATATTGGGAAATTAACGTTAATTCAGTTCAAACACAATAATTATAGATTTAAATCCTTTTCAAATGAACCATGGTAAGTAGAATATCATAGAAATTAAAGTTTTATTCTTTAAGTCTTCTAATTGTAAAAATATTCTTAAATTATCGCAATTCCTGTCACAGAATATTCTGTACATTCACTGCATATGTCATTGAATAACAGAATTGTGACGATATTTCTGACACTTTTCTAATACAACATATTTTTGATTATTTTGGCGCAAACTTAAGAAAATGATAATAAATAACGCTTTGAATAAATGGTAATATTTAGCACAAAATCAATGCAAATCTCTATTAATAAAGTGAACGTTATTTATGACTGATTTTATAATCAATGATTTGTTTGTCTATTAGTTTTGCAGTGAATTTCATAACAATTTAATAACTCATTAATTAGTGCCAAAAAATGGTAATAAATATAGTGTTTTGCACTGAAATTAATGTCCAATTAATTGATTATATATTTTAATGAATGGTTTGTCTCTTCAGAGCGTTTCCGACGATTCAAAGATGAGATTAATTGAAACCAATTTTCAAATCCTTTACGCGATTTGCAAACAAATTAAAGTATGTTTTCATAATTATAGTCAACTCTCTCTCTCTCTCTCATGATCGGTGATGTGATCCGTGTCCACGTCATCGCCGGTAATGAGTTGTAATACACTCTCTCTCTCTCTCTCTCTCTCTCTCTCTCTCCCTCCCTTATTGATCCAAAATGAATGTCAATTCTTTAGGACAAGGAGTTCCAGAAGACGCTATCGTTGATTGAACTCAAACACAACAATCAAGACATCTATGAGTTGATCAACAAATACAACAAGAGTTCACTGAAGACTAACTTCAGCGCCGAAGACATCTATAAAGACATCTGCCTTTCGCTCAAAGATAAGTGCATTAATGTATTACAACTCATTACCGGCGATGACGTGGACACGGATCACATCACCGATCATGAGATACAGGAACTGTTAAGCGCTAAGTTGGATGTCTTGAGCGCACAACTCATCGAAACCGAAGAGATGTCCAAATGTGTGGACACAAAGTTTCTCAACTATCAAAACGTTTGTTTGATTTGAAATGTTTTTTGAGGTTTTTTTATTTACGATAAAAATATTTTGTTTGTTTAATGTATGGATCAGTTGTTCGGCGAATATGTGGAAAATGTGAGCAAATATTACTCTAAATATAAGATACCATTTAAGTTGTCTTACGATGAGTTGGTCTCCACTCTCAATATGAGTAAAGCGCAGACACTTTGCATCAGAAATAGGTTTGATTTTATTATTTCTTTGTGTAATTTGATTAATATTTATCCCAATTATTAACTAATTTAATAATTTTTGATTTACTGTTGCAAAGAATGATAGAAACAGAGAATATATTGCAAAAGTATGGCAACAAAGAGACGATTGATAAACTGAAAGCCGAGCGAAAGGCGTTGGAAGCGGAAGAATATCAGCTGAAGAATGAGTTGAAAAAGTCGGAGAACTTATTATCAGAATACGAGAGTCTGGACAAGGATTTGCTCAAAGAGTATAAACGCGTGAAAAGTGATTTGGAGTGTCGTGTTTGGGCTGTCAATGAACTCAATAATAGCGCCGGTGAAGCAACTGATTAATACAATCATTGTTTTATTTATATTTTAGTTTTTTGGCACTATTTTCACGATAATTTGCTATAATTTCAAATTGTTTTGAATGCGTTTTTATTGTGAATTTTTTGTATAATAAAAATAATAATAAGTGATTGCCTGGGATTTGGCGGTTTTTAGAAAGTTTTCTAATAGAAATTGGTTTTAAAGCAAATTCATTGTAATAGCGTTACTAGTATTCCAGTATTTAAAATAAATGTAATAAATGTTTGCTTTTATCGCATTTGTAACCCAAATAATGTGCATTTTTTAGAAAATAATATTTAATTGCATTCACATATCAATCAACAATCAGCGGATTATTAGTGAACGTAAACCCATTGGTGTCGATTCAACACACGTTATAAACCACTGGTATATTCTGTTAAATATTTTTATATAAATTGTTAGCCATTAAAGTAATGAAGTTGTGTATGAAATGAAATTTAATGTTCACATTAGAGAAAACAGGTTCACATATACTGTATATAATTGATATATTCCTATGATTTTAATCTATAAAAAGTATATTTAATTTTATAAAGTCTTGAATTTAGTGTTTTGTTTGTTAGGATTCCAAGCCTACGACTACAGTGTATCGATATTAGACCTCTAAAGGAGTTTTAGACACAAAAATAATAAAACACTAAAAATAAATAAAACATTTAATTCTTATTTTCTTATAATTCATTCATTCTGTGTTGAATTGAATGGTTGTGTCGAGAGTTAATACTGGCCTTGTGTTTGGGGTTTGTGTAGTAGTGATAGACAACGAGTGTATTACCTGTGCGTCTATAGTAGCGCTCAGTTGTGTATTCATTCTCCTCTTATGCATGTATTGGTGTTGCGTTTGATTCCAATTCTGTTGCCATCCATTCAAACAACACTTTTCGATGCATTCAAATGATTGCCACGAAATTAACGTTCAGTGTCTGCCAATTGGTGGTCATTATCACCAGTATTGGTGTATTGGACGCCCAGAAGCTGGACATACGGCCGGTTCTTAATCTCGGCGACAATGATCTGGTCTCAAATGGCCAGTCATTCTCATATAATCCGTTTCAAATACCGGACGAACCGTAAGTTATATAAGTTTTTTATTGTAAAATATCTTTTTTTGATATCACATCAAGAATATTATGTGCAGTACTGTATATACAGTACAGTACAGTAAAGTGAATCGATATTATGGTTACAAACTCGTGAATCAATACTATATATGAAAACATTATAAACAGTTATGCTTTGACCTAAAAGTCATTCATCCCATTAATTACAATGCGTTTCTGACCGCTTAGACGGTACTTAATAGTGGCCTCGTCTCAGGTCAGACCGGGACAGGTGTATAGAGTGGTGGTTAACCTATTGGAAGCTCCCTTTCCGCTCACTATATCGGCAACCGTTCAGCGAAACAACGAAGAGATAGTGGGAACCACTGAACGCATACAACCGGGAGAATCGCAAAACTTATTAATGAAAGTAAGAAAATGATAGATTTACACGATTTTTGTGCATTAAAATTAAATATAAGTTTATTGTT